AGTTATGAGCATTTGAAATTTGAAAAAAACGAGGCTGGTCAGACCTCCATACTGATTTTCACTCAAACCTTTTGTAATAATAACACCTGTAATCTCTGGTCCTTAAATGTTAGAGCATTGCAACTTTCATATCTTATTCATTGTAATGTGTTCTTTCAACGGGTAGCAATGATAARCTAAGGTGCTACGATAGCTACGCCCTTTTTCATATGGTCTATATGAAGCTACACCCTTCCCATAGGATGGTTCTCCATGTAGGGTAACCATATATAAAAACTGTCTCAGATCTCTCGACGGTTTGAATAATAATARTAATAATAATTTATTGAGCATTATATAGAATTTCAATGCTTTACAAGGTAAAAATAGAATTAAATAATAAACATGGAATAACAATATAAATACACTATGGAATAACTTTAAAATATCTTATATTATCAAAAATTAACTAGAAACATTTACAAAATAAAAATGTCTTTAATAAGGATTTAAAACTGCTCAAGGTATCACAGTTTTTAAGTTMTAAAGGGAGRGAGTTCCACAATTTTGGAGCAATTACTGAAAATGCACGATCACCATARGKTTTGGTCTTCGAAATGKGAATCGATAGATTATTTCGTTGCGTTGATCGTAATTGACGTCGAGGATTGTATTTGACTAAAAGTTCAGAAATGTATTCAGGTGCCATATTATGTAAGGCCTTGAACACCGGGACGAGGATTTTGAATTCGATTCTGAACTTGATAGGTAGCCAGWRTAATTGTTTTAGTATAGGTGTGATGTGRTCTGAAMTCCTGGTACCAGTAATCATCCGAGCAGCACATTTATGGACACGTTGCAGCTTTTCAATTTCCTTAGCCGGCAAGCCTGACAGCAAGCTGTTACATGAGTCAAGTTTCGASGTGATGAATGCGTGTACCACGMGCTCTAAGTTATTTCTGTCCAGGAATTTTCTAATCTTGCCAATGTTCCTGATAGAGTGATAGGCGGACTTGCAGATATTATTGATATGCATTGTTAGCTGTAAATGCTTGTCAATAGTAACGCCAAGGTTTCTAGCTTCTTGTGTGGGCCGTATGTTTAATCCATCGATGCCTACGTGAGAAATAGGGTCGTACTTTAGGAACCGAGATGTAAGATGTACAATTTCAGTCTTATCAGGGTTACATGCCAGACCGTTGGAGGAACACCAAATTAAAATTAGGATATCATTAACACATAGTTCAAGCTTTTTCAACTCTGTTGGACGATCTTCTATTGAATAAATAGAGATGTATAACTGCGTGTCATCAGCATAGGTTGAAAATTATATATTAATAAAACTACCCTCAAAATGTACCTGCAAAATGAAATTTTGACGCTGCAGTCGAGCATGATGTTTCGATTACCAATTCTTCGTAATCTGCCGGACTCTCTCCACCACTCCGCGGTTTCACGCACTTGCCTCCACTGTACCCGAGAATTGTTCCATCAAATGTCAAAGTTGCCGCTACTTCTGATTTACAATCTACTAGAGTCAGTGCCTACAAAAATGTAAATGAAACAAGATTTTATGGAAGCAATATCACAAACGCAACATTTATTATGCAAATTTTGGGGTTGACTATAAATCTATTAAAGCCGAAGAAATGGTCAAAATAATTGTGCAATTCTGGGACTTCTGTATTATTTCTATGATATTRAGCGAGCCTGAGTACTGAACAAAAAATACCACAATGCAACATTTTTCATCTTGCACAATGCAAAATGATATTTATATTCCGGAAAATTGCTCATAAATGTAATACAAAAAAGTACTCATGCCAACAGACACAAGATATTGTTTGCATACTTCGTTCTAGTAGTGGATGTGAAAATGATTTTTTTTTTAAATTTCGCTTTTTTTTGTTTTTGTTTTTTTTTTTTTGGAGCAAGACACCTTACCGCGAACAAATGATTTATTCATAGAGCGGATTTCGTATGACTGTGCAAAAGCACGGATCACAACTCACGGAACCTCGCCTTATAGGATTTCAAATAAAGGTAAAGATTTCCCACAAATATAAAAAAAAAAATAAAATAAAATAAAATAAAATAAAAGAGAATATAATAAAAGAGAATAAAATTTAATAAAATATAATAAACCAAATCTAAAAATACGCTAAATTATATACAATTCCTTAATGATATAAATATATAATAGTAGTATGATCAATGATAAAAATGTTCTATATACATATAAATACGGGTTTTGAGATATTAAAAGAAAAAATATGATATTAAATATAGAATCTACTAAGAAAAAACGAATTATAATATTAAATAGAAAGTAATAAAATTTATGCTAAAATGTCTAGACAATATCTGCATTAACACTGTTCAATTTAATGTCACTATTAACCTGTCTGTTTTTAAAAGGTATTCGAGATCCTCTTATACATAAAATGGCTGATCTCAGAATTTCAAAGCTTAGTCTAGTGCGCACCCATGTCATGGTGTCAGCATACGACTCTCCTGTTTTAGAGGCCAGTTTCTCAGCTAAGTTCTTTAGGAATAGCTGGCACTCAGTCCCCATTCCTCCATTTGTACCAAAAACCAGTGGTGTRAAAGTACCCATTTCAACATCTAGTATTCTTTGCTGGTATTTCCTTTTCTTTTCTTTTTCTTGCTCTCTGAAGATTGTAGCCGTGSTCTTGTTTGTGTTGCTAGAGGAATTGACATGCGTCACACGAACGTCAAAAAATGCAGTCACTCCTCTATTCCAGAAGCCACCAGCTTTAATGTCGAGCCTGSCCTCATTACTAGTGTTCGTAGATCGCAAATCGAACATCTCACCATCCAGTGGGATAAGGTGTGGTTCAGCTTCAACATTGTTGCAAACTTTGTTGAGCAAGCCAGTAAGTAGATCTCGAACTCCGTGGTGTCTTTGTGCTACAAATCCACCCTTTTTGCAAGATAGGGCGTGATTTACTGAAAATACTGAACCACAGGTGCAATAGCTTGGTAATTCTGTCAACGGTAGGTTGTAGCGTAGACGCAGTGAGTCTCTAAATTCTTGCTTGTTTAGTGATAGCCCTTGTTCTTTTATTGGCAATGAGTTAAGCCACGAGCTTGCTCCTTTATCCCTGGCTTGTTGTGCAAAAGGCAATAGATCAGGTGGTAGCGTTGCGTCTATTTGATCCACTCTGTCTTTCAAACGTGCCGACTTCATTGATTGCTGTTGTTTTTTCAGTTCCTCCTCTTGGTTTGGCAGTGTCGTGCTTTGTTGCTTATGTTGGAGATAGGAGTAATCCATGTCTAAAGGTTGAACTTACCGGTTTTTTGTGTTTTTTTTTTTCGGTTAGCTGATCAGTTCCTTCTTTGAAGTTTAACGGCTGAGTTTTCGAAACAAAATGACAAATAGGAGAAAAAAACTCCCTGTGGTGAAATGCAAGTTCCACCTGCTTTCTTAGTATTATCGTTTGAAGTTTCTGTCAGATTATCTTGGAACTATCTGATCGGTAGTATATAGGTAATCACAGGTTACGTTCTGCGGATCAGGATCCGACGTGAACCAATCTTTGAGCTTTTTTAGTTTACCACCTGCATTTTTACTGTATTCTCTTCCAAATCTCAACAGTTTCTATTTTATTTATATTATATATTGTCTTTTTTGTTTTCTTTCGTTTTTTTTTTCCTTTTGACCTTTTTTCCTATTACGTGATCATGAGTTCTTTATAAATTTATGCTCGTCAAGCTACTTGTTTCGTTATTGTCTAACACTGAAATCATGGTTAATTCCACGTTGACACCTACATTTTATTATRATTGGCGTTGAGGTTACCGTTTTGTACCATTTGTTTTCGGTAGGCAAAGTCTCGCAAAATAACAAGGATACAGTGTAATCGATGTCAAATATTARATTYCAGTTGGAYTCCTATTTTGAAAGTTTCATTGATTTTAAACGTCAGAYACAACGAAAATGAGTTAAAAAAAATTGGTCGAAGTTTTCAAGGACTTAGTTGACCTAAAGAGCGAGTAAACACATTTTTAGTTCTTCACACATTTCTTTGTAATTTCTGGGGTCATCGGTACGTAACGGGCATGAACAATACAAAGGAGTGTATGGAGAACTAAAAATGAATGTATGCAACTCACACTACTTAACAAACTATTGCGAACGCAGTTCACACTGGGTTATACACCAATGTTAGAACAAAGATTGTGATGTGATGAAATAACAAAGAGAGACAGGCAATACAAAAAACAAAGATGTACAGCAGAACAATAGGCATTGTCAGCAGAAAAATAGGCATTGTCAGCAGAACAATAGGCATTGTCAGCAGAACAATAGGCATTGTCAGCAGAACAATAGGCATTGTCAGCAGAACAATAGGCATTGTCAGCAGAACAATAGGCATTGTCAGCAGAACAATAGGCATTGTCAGCAGAACAATAGGCATTGTCAGCAGAACAATAGGCATTGTCAGCAGAACAATAGGCATTGTCAGCAGAACAATAGGCATTGTCAGCAGAACAATAGGCATTGTCAGNAATAGGGATTGTCAGTAGAACAATAGGCATTGTCAGTAGAACAATAGGCATTGTCTGATATTATCCTACAATTCTTTGCTTTTTTTTGTCTCGATCAAGCACAAGCTTCGTTCTGACGGTGGTGACCGACCCTTCACGATAAGTTACCGCTAGTCTCCACTTCTACAGGCCTCGAGTTCTGTATTAGCCCTGTGCACATCTTGCATCAAGGTTACTTCAAACTAACAGCAAGTGCTGTTTAATAACATACTTAACTGGGCAGTTACAAAATTCATTTGCATGTTTCTGTTATCATTTGCGGGAGTTCTATATCTGAGGGGAATTAATTCTGCCTTAAGAATTTTAAGGAAATACTATTCATAAGCAGTAGTTGCATCTCTGTCCAAAGAGTCCATTGAGGAAAGTGGAAATAATGGATCATGGGGCCTTATCCTCAGAAGGCAATTGAGTACTATTCCTAATGACAACACTGAATGCGATTGCTAGAAGAGGTATATGTACTTCAGTTTTGACGCTAGTCAGTGGTTTCACACACATACATGTTTTTGGTTGCTAGTACCTGGCAAATGACTTTTTCAAATTTATGCAAAAWAATATTGAACAACGTAGACATGATCTCGCAATAATTTGATTTAGCAGTATATTATATTTACAGCTATTTAAAGCATTAAAATTAGCTTGCGCAGCAGCAACAACAACAACAACAAATCGCTGCCTATCACACTACTAGCTGTACCCAACACATGCACACAAACAGATCATTATGGTTTATTTATAATACAGTTGTTTGACTCGTGGTGTCCCCCCTGACTGTAGTTTCAGCAACAGTGTTTGTATGGGTTTCGGAGTTTGCAGTGATGATGTTTGCCCTCTCATTTATAATAAATCGTCCATGGATTTCAGTTTCTGCTTGAAAATTTATCTTTGGAGAGCTGCTTCTTTTTTCATTAAATTCTTTACATTTTTCAAGATCTTTTAGCCGTCTTTTTGAAGCAACATCTTCCGTATTCGTTTGTAAAATATTTATTTTGCTTCTCTGATTTAAAATATTGTCTTCATGCTCGTTGAATTTTATACCGTCCTCGTTGAAGTTCGCTGAGAAACCATTGGCTTTTAACTTGGATTCATTTGATTTTGACTCATGGTCTTTGATTTTTATGGTGCTCTCTGTCTTCAARTCACTGCTTTCCTTATTTTGAGAGTTTGCAGCGTTTGTCTTGCATTGCATGAGCTGCAAAGCGCCTYTTCTTTCCCCGGATGTACTGAACAGCGGTGTCTCGTCATCACAACAGAATACTCTTTTGAAACCTCGTCGAAACTGGTCGTTGAATATGATGTATAAACATGGATTTATAAAGGCATTCAAATTACTTATAAACGCGGTAATAGATAATCCCCAAAATAACGMGGTCGATGTGATYACGACATTCCCAAAAAAACGTGCTAACAGGTATAACTGGATTGGTARCATGCAAATAGCAAATGAGATCACCACGCTCACCATCATCTTGGTCACCTGACGTGCTGTTGCAATGACACGTTTTTGGTATTGCTCATTTGCCGGTAAATCCCGCTGGCGAAGTTTGAATCCAACAATGATGTAGAGTATTGTAATGACGAGAAGAGGGAAGACAAACATTAGGCAAAAGCCAGTAACGATGTATGTTCTACTGGAAGCTCTTGACTGCCATACAGTTGTACAGTACGAAGTTGTGTCCTGAATAGTAACTAGTTTATACGAACTCATTGGCGGAACACAGATTAACAGYGAAACAAACCAAACCACGAAAACAATATATTTYTTTCGATGTGACTTGTGRTTTGCGCGCTGATGGAAGGGATGTGCGATTGCGTAATATCGGTCAATTGCTATGGCAACAAGACTAATTGTCGAACACGCCACTGAAACCAATCGTGACGACATAACGAATTTACATGTGATCACACCCATCGTCCCAGAGAACCAAGCACTGCCAATAAATAGACGGAYCGTCTGAAAAGGAAGACCAAGACTGCAGAGATTATTATAAGAAAAATGGTAATACAAAGTAGATTAGCACTTTTCGTGAATACGTTGTTGCGTCACTAGGAAAATAGTATCTAGAGTATATAAAATTACAGGATCTACGATGGAGTATCATTACTTCGTGATTGGCCAATACAATAGTCCTCTTTCACGGTTCTCTGCACCATCTTGAAAAGTAGCCGTGCCTTTGCATCGAAGCGAGACAGGCGTTGAGCGTCCAATGACAGAAACCTGCTTTCACACCTACAGACAATTATTCACAGGTATCTCTCATTGCACTCTCAACGGTTTGGCTCGCTTTGTGTAAAGGCACGGCTACCTTTCAAGATGGCGCAGGTAACCGTGAACGGCGAACTGAAACACACTAGTTTGAGATTAACGTAAAAATACGATAGTATTAAAAATGCAACTCAACTTACCTGAGATGGGATGAATATCAGTGCAATCAATAAATCAGAAATTGCCATATTCATTATCAAAACATTTGTTGTTGTACGCATGCGCATATTAGAACGCACTACCTCRACAACTAAGACATTGCCTAGTAACGCTCCTAGCAACAACAAACAATTGCATGCTGTCAAGGCAACTTTGACTGTTAGGTTSACATTTGGAGGTAGTAGATATGACGTCACTGTGCTTTCTGTGGAAAGAACGCTTGGTTAACATATTATACGTTGATGCTTGGTTTGATTATTGCTTGGGTWATTATCTGATTGGTAGGTTGGCGTTGGCTCTTCTAATCTCATTGGTTATTATGAAATTGTMTAAATTTAAAGGTATCTATAATTATCAGTATTGACGGATTGCGTTGTTCATTAATTTTCAGTTAATTTGATTGAATTGCTTATTGCCATCTTGACTTCATGATGATGTCATAGACCTTTTTTGAGATAGCAGTTTGCTTTGCATTGTGGTCTAGATTCGGTACAAACATCTTTTGTTCATGCTGGCAAATATGGTGTTGTTTGTACCGAAGCTAGACCACAATGCACCATGATTTTGTATTTCAGAAAAGGTCTATGGCATCGTTATTTTTAAGCTGTGAACATTTTCAATGAAGTCATCATCATTTTCTTTAATGACGTCATTTTCATTATGATCATTGACGTCATTGTCTTTATTATGGCTGCTGATGTAATTGTTGTCATTGCTATCATTTCCTTTAGTACAATGTAAAATCTTAAACAGTGCTTTGCGTATTTCTGTTATTCTCCAACAGTAGATGATAGGATTCAACATGCTGTTCATCAAAACCAATGTAATACTTGCAATTGGCATGAATATGWCGTAGGATCTTGTCCTAATTGCCACGATCTCGTAGGTTGTTGAATAAAAGAGGAAAGGACAGTAGCAGACAATAAACGTCCCAAGTATAAAATACATGATATTTAGCGATCTCTTCAATCTCATGATGGGTGCCCTGTGTTGTACGATTTCCTGAACATGTATTTGAACATTGTGYTTTCGAACGACCAAAGATAATTTTATCATTAATATAACATTGATTAATATTATCATAAAATTAAGAACATTGTCTATAGTAGCCATGACGTCCAAGGTTCTTGGATGAAAGCTCCACGCTACACTTACTACCCAAACTAAAACCACCATTTGAATTGTTCGCTTACATGTAACAAGTTGATGATATCTCAAATGCAGCTRCATAGCAAGAAATCGATCGATTGTTATTGCTGTTACCGCTAAAATAGACGCGTAAATAAACACATGAGACGAGTATCTGAAAATAATTTCCGTGACCTCAAGATTTAACGATTCTCCTCTGTGACTAGTAAGATACTTGTATAATATGCTTGTAAAACATGGCTGAACAACAGCGGCAACTCCAAAGTCGCCTGCAGTCAGGYTAAAGATAAGAATATATGAAGACATCTGTAGGGACTTGGTTCTTAAAATAGTCAACATGATTAGCGAGTTCAGAACTGTAGCAGAAATTGAGCTCAAAGCGTTTATAGTTATTATACATTTTAAGAAAGTCGTGCTATTTGAAATACTTTCCCAATCGGCGATGAAGTGAATCTCGGCATCCATTTTGCCTAGTACTTCAATATTCAATGCTTTTAGTCCTCCCGCCCGAGCAATGAAAACGCATATGATATGCAAAAAATGATTAGATTCTGACGTTGTTCGATGGTTTTTGATTAATCTGGTGTTTTATTGGCTTAGAAAGCAATCATTGCTCTCTTTTCGTTTGCATGTAGTCAGTATTTACACTGTTTGATATTATGGAACAAATCACTATGCATTTTTTTATCAAAGTTCCGGCAAAAATTGTCGACCTTTCCAAAAGACTGAACAAGACTTCAACAAATATTGCGATTGTTTGAATTACCAAAAACATATTTCTAGCTTTAACCGGAACCGTTTCTGTCTAAATGAATATTGGTCGAAACAGATGGCAATGAGTTGGCCTTTCATATGGAATTATGAACTCAGTTCATTTTTAAGTCTACTCATGGAGGATGTATGACCGGATTGGCCCACAAAAAATGATAAAGACGTACTGTGGAAAAACATCTTTTTAAAGTCAAAATAAGAATAGATTTAAATTCCAGCAACTTCTGTTCTTCTCTTGAAA